CTACGACCTTCGAATTACGCGTTCGATGCTCTAACCACTGAGCTATCACAGCGGCCCTCCCTCCATCCACTTTTTTGGGTTTATCTGTGAATTTAGAAGTACGAGCGACAGTCAGCGCCATCTATAAGCCAAACAACGAGTGTGAAAGCACTCTTATGCGCATGTTTGGCGTCACGTAGCACGTGAACTTATTATGAGCGGGCAGCTGAATAATTGTCCCTCTTATACAACCTAAACACACCAAGTCTGCCAGTACGAGACCCTCGTTCAATGAAATAAGGGAATGAAGTGTATACCTAAGGGCTCGTTTTTCCGTGTTTTTAACACAATAATAATGAGATATAACAGACAGTAATGCCAAGGAATGTACAGGGGAAGTTATTAGAACCAATGGAATGTAAATAAGAAGAAAGAAGAAAGAAAAGTGGATGAAAAAATTACCAACTGTGAGCAGGAACCGAACCTACGACCTTCGAATTACGCGTTCGATGCTCTAACCACTGAGCTATCACAGCGGCCCTCCCTCCATCCACTTTTTTGGGTTTATCTGTGAATTTAGAAGTAGGAGCGACAGTCAGCGCCATCTATAAGCCAAACAACGAGTGTGAAAACACTCTTATGCGCATGTTTGGCGTCACGTAGCACGTGAACTTATTATGAGCGGGCAGCTGATTAATTGTCCCTCTTATACAACCTAAACACACCAAGTCTGCCAGTACGAGACCCTCGTTCAATGAAATAAGGGAAAGAAGTGTATACCTAAGGGCTCGTTTTTCCGTGTTTTTAACACAATAATAATGAGATATAACAGACAGTAATGCCGAGGAATGTACAGGGGAAGTTATTAGAACCAATGGAATGTAAGTAAGAAGAAAGAAGAAAGAAAAGTGGATGAAAAAATTACCAACTGTGAGCAGGAATCGAACCTACGACCTTCGAATTACGCGTTCGATGCTCTAACCACTGAGCTATCACAGCGGCCCTCCCTCCATCCACTTTTTTGGGTTTATCTGTGAATTTAGAAGTAGGAGCGACAGTCAGCGCCATCTATAAGCCAAACAACGAGTGTGAAAACACTCTTATGCGCATGTTTGGCGTCACGTAGCACGTGAACTTATTATGAGCGGGCAGCTGATTAATTGTCCCTCTTATACAACCTAAACACACCAAGTCTGCCAGTACGAGACCCTCGTTCAATGAAATAAGGGAAAGAAGTGTATACCTAAGGGCTCGTTTTTCCGTGTTTTTAACACAATATTAATGCGATATAACAGACAGTAATGCCAAGGAATGTACAGGGGAAGTTATTAGAACCAATGGAATGTAAATAAGAAGAAGAAAGAAAAGTGGATGAAAAAATTACCAACTGTGAGCAGGAATCGAACCTACGACCTTCGAATTACGCGTATATATATATATATATATATATATATATATATATATATATATATATATATATATATATATATATATATATATATATATATATATATATGTATATGCGTCTTAGTAATAATGTGTTGAAAGTCTGCGCTGGTCCTTGTCTTTTCTGTGTGTGTGTTGTCTAACTTTCACGCTGAGCAGTTTAATAACCTTTTCTTTGGCCGCAACATGGCCTTGCTCTTCGATAAACTGCTATACTCTCTCGCTTAAAATTCTCGACTGACTACGCCCACGATTCAATCACCTTGGCCGCCCTTGTCTGAGAGGTCACTCGTCATCGCCTCATAACCCCGAAAGCTTCTATTAAGCGACGTTACGATCATGAGCATAAAGAAATAAAATTTTCTTCTGGTTCTATTTTTCTACCCCGGACTCCCTGGCGTTGTATTGGCATGGCAAAAAAAAAAACACTTTATCATTTCTCTGGTCTGTACAAGATGATCGATGCACCAACTATCTGACGTGATGTTAGAGATCGCACCAGCCGACGTGTCTTTGCTACCTCACGTCAGCAGCGACGCTGTCCAAGTCGTGAAACTCTCTGCCTTCCAATAAATTATCTTTCTCTCTCTCTCGCCTAGATTAGAGGAAGTCTCTTATCGCCGCTTTTGCGCCAGCTATTTATCGTGAATACAGCAACTCTGCACTCGTGTGCCCAGTTTCTTTATGCAATATGTTCACGTTAGCGGCTATCCCTTGGTAAAACATGCCTTACCCAAAAGGAGAGCTATGTATACATATATCCTTAAAGTTGCTGTTGTAGTATATGTCCCGTAAAAAACAGGATGTCCTTTTGTACGCGTATGTATGTGTGCGCTCTAGTTAAGGGACTTGATATTAATATATGCCTGCATTACCATATAAAGATGTGATTGTGATCTAGACCCCTACTAAGTAATAAGCGATCATTTGTGCAACATGACACAAGCCAGGCTGTCTCCACGTGTAATGCGGCTCTCAGCATTAGTGGCATCTGAACGTTAAGCCGCACAAACGATATTTTATGTGAGCTTGCCCTGAAAAAAATTCGGCCTGATATTCAAATGCCAGTGACACACATAAATCAAACGGATCTAAATCTCAGGCTTCACCAGAAGCTTTTTAGGAAGTGGGGGTTTAAACCCCTTATATGCATGTTCATTTTTACATTTCAATGTGTGTGCAATTAAACACACATGTAAAAATTTTAAAATTCTGTGGGTGCGATTGAAAACCTTCTTACTATGCAAACCCACTGTCACGCAATCATAGCTCAATAACGCCCGTAGCCATACTCGCAAAGTTGCAACTGTCATTTTACTAAAGAACTCATTTTGCATCATTGCTTCCTTGCAAGCACCAGCTTACTTGGCATTTACTACCAAAATTCTAGCTAGCTAAGGCTGTGGCAATAGTTTACTGCCTTAAAGATAGTCGACAGATCTCGTTAATTTAGGAGCATAGCTTATGAAATCATACTCGCTGCATTTGTTGTCGCCATCACTTGCAGTTAGGTTTTGACAGCGTTCGTATATATACGTATTTCTCAGCGTGGAACATCGTGCATGGTGGGATGCCAAATGCATGGTTTGCACTAATTAGTGAAAAAATTGTTAAGCATACACGCATTCCCCAAGCCTGTTGTCTGGTCAAAATAAGAGTCTGAAGGTCCATATACCTCATAAACTTACTGAATTTCGCTCTGCTGAAACAATTTCTTGAGCTAGCTTTTTTATTCTTGAGCCAATAGTACTTAATATCATTTTTTAAACAGCGAAGTTGTTTTTGGTCTAGCCTTTCAAGCCTAGGATTCGTGGCAATGCTCGTGAGCACAAAGAACTAGTGTCTACCATGGACATTGGGTAAATGCCACTGTACTCACCACTGGCCCACTAAAAATAAAGGCCAAAGTTAGCCCAACAAACAGGAGTGTGCCACAGGAATACAGTGAATTGCACTAAACAGAACTTCTCAAAAAAACTAGAGTAGGCAACTGTTACTCGAATAACTGCCACGCGCGTTTCCATACTCACACCATTGTCATATATTTTGTCCTTGTAAAAGGTGGTGACCATACGGACACATCGAAGCTTAACGAAATGTGTTGAATAAAGAGTAGTGATACAACGTATCAGAATACATTAAGCGAAGGCATTTTTGTAAACCTGTGTGTATGAGTCGTATAGTCAAAATGCAAATATAAATATAATACCACCGGTAAGATTAACAAAGCATATAGATGCAATAAAAATATACTACCACCTCAAAGCTTCTTGGCAAAGAGTGTTTTAATAAAAAGCAGTGATACAATGTATCAAAGCATATTAAGCGAAGGCTTCTTCGTAAAATTGTGTGTAAGACTGGTATGTTGAAAATGCAATAAAACTATACTACCAATTCAGAGCTTATTAAGAAATAGTGCTTAATAAAGAGCAGTAACACAACATATTGGAGCATATTAAGCAAATGCTTCTCTGTAAATATGGCCTACAAGCGAGGTATAGTGAAGATTGAATACAATGATACTACCACCTCAAAGCTTATTAACAGAGTGCTTAATTATGAGCAGTGATACAACATATTGCAATACATTAAGCAATGGCTTCATTGTAAACCGGTGCATAAAGGAGGTACGGCCAACATGCAATAAAACTACACCACCACCTGAAAGCTTGACAAAGAGTGCTGTACAATTTCTTTGAAACATTTGAACAAGATAGGCACGCATTAGTCTTACGAAGGAAACGGCCCTAAGCGTCATTAGTGTCCGAAAGCAAAGCTGGTTGAATTTTGTCCTGTGACTTAAATCGGGAACGAAGTGCGCACAAAAACTGCTGCTCTCAAAGAAAAATAACGCAAGCAAGTAATTTCTGTAGGAGAAACAAACACGCGAAGTCATATTTTTATTCAGTGTATAGGAATACCAAAAACCTTGTCCTGGGTGGTGAAAAAGAATCTGTCCTTGTAAGCAGATACGACATCTTCTATTTATAATGAGTGATCCATAAAATTCGAGTTCATCGATATGCTGAATGTGTTCGAAACACACTATTTTTCTCATAAAGCCACAGAGAAATGAATGTTGTAACGTTCCCCGCAGTCTGAAATTCGAAACGCGTTTTCCCGGTGCGAGATAGCCGCTTGGTAACCACGCAGCAGCTCTGCATTCTTCGCCCAGATTTTCCACTTAGCAGTGCAGCTATTGACTCCGAAGTAATGGTTACAGATTATATGTGGCATGTTTATGTGGACTCTTTGGAAACAAAGTGTCAAGCTTAATTCGGTAAGTTGTGAAAAAATGAAAAAGAAAATATCCGAAATTGATTCCGAAAGGAAAAAGTAGTTATATAATAAAGTGCTCTATTCATGCAGAAGGTGTTCCGTTTCGTCATCTTTCTTTGACATTTTGAAACTCTTTGTTAACTTGTATAGCAATGTTCCCCCACAGGCCACACTGCCACTACTAGCCACCCCTGCACCTGTAGCGCATGCTGCAACGCCCTCTAGTCCCATTGCTGCAAGGGCCATTGCCCCTCCACCTAACCCTGCGGAGACTAGTCCTAACGAAATGCCCACACCTGTCAATATCTTAGTCAAATTTTCGTTATCTTTCTTCAGGCTCTCATTTCCTTTGTTCAAAGAATCCACTTTCTCCGTATAGAGCTGCTTCAGGCCCTCCATTTCCTCCTTGAGCTGCTCCTTCTCGGCCTTCTCCTTGTCGGCCTGAGTCCACGCCTCCGTCAACTCGTTCTCGACCTCCATCTGCTTCTCCTTCTGCTCCTCGGCGTCCTGCTCGCGCCTCGTCTGCTCTTCCGCAAGCTGTTTGTCAAGCCAAGCTTGTTCTTTCCTGTATTGACGATCAAAGTGATCTTGCAGTTCCTGCAAACAGCATATAAATTAGTTCGGCTCGAAACACTTAAAGAAACGCGTAAGAAACGAGCAACTGCCCAACAAGTGGTGCTCGTGCAGTGACCCCTTAACCACATTGGAAACCAGGGAGTTTCCAATTATTGCCTTTCAGCTCACTGGGTGGTACTGAAAGCTCTCGATTGGGGTGGCCGTTGGTGGCTACCTCGTGAAAATCAGCTACTTTCAGACCCTATCTGTCGAGAAGAAATTTCAAGTTCGCGGCGCCAGATACTTCCTGGGTACTTCTAACTTCTCTTTTCACGCGTTAAGTAGCCACTTTTATATTCAAAAACACGCTTTGTAATTACGAACCGGGAATGGAAAACAGTACAAGACGCCACCAGCCTACTGTATTTTCCGGGCCGAGTCGTTACTTACACTACATAGCACACTTTTCATTGTTAATCAACACAAGCCTCCCTAACAGTTCTTCTAAACGCCATTTCATAATAGTTGCAAATCAGACGCCATATTTCCAGGTGTACACTATCATACGAGTCTATGCGGGCACGAAGAAGAATTGAGATTTGGTCAAGTTGGGATTGGTCGCACGCGTCTACTTACTCTCGCCACCAGGAGACGGCCATGCATCGAGGCACCCAAACACAGCGCACGCAGCATGTGCACGTACGAAGTGCCGCAGTTGCATGCGTGTTCCGAAACGTGCGAATAGCAAGTTGACTCTGCCCGCCTTCTATACTTACGCTACGCGCAAGTTGCTTGGTGCTTGTTCATGTGTGAGCTTGAGAGATACAAAATTTTGCGATGAAATGAACGTAAACTGTTCATCCTAATCATATTTGACGATCTGAAACTGCTCTAACACTATTTAAGCTCCACTAATCAAAGGCGATGTTCAGATTTAAATGGCCATTCAACAGGCTCTGGCGTCTTTTATTTTTTTTACACTCCCCAAACAAGCTCGGCGATTCATAGAATGGACCGCGTCGATCACGTTTTTCGAATTTTACAGCTCTGCGCGCCAAGCCTCCAATTCGAAAAAAAAAAAAGATTCCCGCGCTTTTTTGCTACAACTGATCAATTCTCCTTTCACGTGCAGAGACGCATAGGCTCCGATCGGTGACTTGCCCCGCCGCGGTGGTCTAGTGGCTAAGGTACTCGGCTGCTGGACCCGCAGGTCGTGGGATCAAATCCCGGCTGCGGCGGCTGCATTTCCGATGGAGGCGGAAATGTTGTAGGCCCGTGTGCTCAGATTTGGGTGCACGTTAAAGAACCCCAGGTGGTCAAAATTTCCGGAGCCCTCCACTACGGCGTCTCTCATAATGAAATAGTGGTTTTGGGACGTTAAACCCCACAAATCAATCAATCAATCCGATCGGTGACTTGACGTAGCACGCAGCTCTTCGATTGGTCTAAACCAAGGAGGATTAAAGAAAAATTGCTGGAGTGGAAGCTCTCGCAATGCCTTGCCAGCAGAAGTGAAGCCAGCTTATGCCACTGCCAAGATGGCGGAAACATGCTCTTTTCTGGTATACTGCGCGCTTGAAGATTAAGTGGCTTCGATATGTTAATGTAAATGATACGTTGGGTCTATATTAAAATATAGTAGTTCCCGACGAAATAACAAAGAAAAGCGAGTATAGGGTGACTGAATCTTTAAAGAACTTTGCTTCGAATCAGAGGCTTACTAAGAAAAAACAGTAACACTATGTGAGCCGGAAAAGTTTCCAGATTAAACTCGTAGAGCGTGCGAGGGAAACGCTCCATTATTATTCGTTGAACGGTGATACTTTATCATGCCCCTAGTGAGATGGCCGCCGCAGCCACCATCTTGCCATATGCACGGCTTCACTCCTGGGCAATCGATTCCACTCCAGCAATTTTTTTTAATCCTGCTTGGTCTAAACCAGTCACGACAATGGGCTACGCCTTCCCATTTCTGTGAGGGAGAAGGGTGGCGCCACCGTTCCTCCTTACAGGGAGGGGATTGCGTAACCCACACGAAAATTTGAAACCAACTGAAACCGATGTTTTAGCCCCTGTAACTTCCTTAACATGTATCCACAAAATTCTTGTGGCAGCACGTTCACAGACCAAAAGTGCACATACTATTTCTCTTTATAACAATTTGTAGACCTCGTGGTTACTTACTGTACCTTTAAAAAAAAACTGTCCCGACGTTTAATATCAACGCTAACTTGTTGACTGGAATGTGCCGAGGCTACTTTGTATCTGCAACGAGCTCTCTCTATATATTTTACATACACTGTGTGCATTGTGCGCGAACCTTATGGTACTATAATCTTTTCATCATCATCAGCCTGACTACGTCCACTGCAGGACAAAGGCCTCTCCCATGTTCCGCCAGTTAACCCGGTCCTGTGCTTGCTGCTGCCAATTTATACCCGCAAACTTCTTAATCTCATCTGCCCACCTAACCTTCTGTCTCCCCCTAACCCGCTTCCCTTCTCTGGGAACCCAGTCAGTTACCCTTAATGGCCATCGGTTATCCTGTCTACGCGCTACATGCCCTGCCCATGTCCACTTCTTCTTCTTGATTTCAGCTATGATATCCTTAACCCCCGTTTGTTCCCTAATCCAATCTGCTCTCTTCTTGTCTCTTAAGGTTACACCTACCATTTTTCTTTCCATTGCTCGCTGCGTCGTCCTCAATTTAAGCTGAACCCTCTTTGTAAGTCTCCAGGTTTCTGCTCCGTAGCTAAGTACCGGCAAGATACAGCTGTTATATACCTTCCTCTTGAGGGATAGTGGCAAACTACCTGTCATAATTTGAGAGTGCTTGCCGAATGTGCTCCACCCCATTCTTATTCTTCTAGTTACTTCAATCTCGTGGTTCGGCTCTGCGGTTATTACCTGCCCTAAGTAGACATAGTCTTTCACAACTTCAAGTGCACTATTACCTATCTCGAAGCGCTGCTCCTTCCCGAGGTTGTTGTACATTACTTTCGTTTTCTGCAGATTAATTTTCGTTTTCTGCAGATTAACTGGGAGTGGGGTTCCTAATTCACAGAAACATAGCTGGCAACATAGAGGAATACTATAGCATTAATGAAAGGGTGGTAGGTATCGTAATTAAACTGAATAAAAGATACAAGATGAAGGTAGTACAGGCTTACGCGCCTACATGCAGCCATGATGACGCTTCAGTTGAAAGCTTCTATGAAGACGTGGAATCGGCAATGAGTAAGGTAAAAACACAGTATACTATAGTGATGGGCGACTTTAATGCAAAGGTAGGGAAGAAGCAGGCTGGAGACCAGGCAGTAGGAGATTATGGCATTGGTAGTAGAAACACCAGAGGAGAGCTACTAGTAGAATTCGCAGAACGCAATAATTTACGGATTTTGAATACCTTCTACCGAAAACGAGAAAACCGCAAGTGGACATGGAGGAGCCCTAATGGCGAAAATAAGAATCTTTTACATACAACTTATACATGGTTTGAAGTGGAATAAAGAGGGCAGATAGGGCTGTCTGAATGTCTGCCTTATTAAACATGGTCTTATTAACCTCTTAGTAAAGAGAACCCTACGTATCATGCTTTTTGTATTTATTTTTCTAATATAATGGCCATAAATAAATGGCCTGGATACTTTGCATGGATACTCTTTTATCCAGTTCCGGCTACGTTTTAAATCCAGCGACTAGAAACGCTGTATACCGGTGTCTGTGATCCAGTGTATACAGAGCACTGGGATGCACTAACCCAAAATGTACAGTGTAGGCGGCGCTGCCCAGTGCAATGAAATGCACTAGGAATGCTGCACAGTGTGGCCCAGTGTCTCAGAGGTTACTGGGAGGTACTGGAGACTGAGTACAGAGACTGGCCGCACACTGCATACCCTGGCCGCACATCCGAGCAAATCGGGTGCGCTGGATGGACTTTGTACATACAAAGTTTGATATTGTATCCGAACCTGGAAAGCGTGATATTTACGAATTGCTTTGGAATATTATTATGCGTTGAACACGTATCTAATTTTAGTTTTAATTGGACGTTGAATTAGGCGACAACGCTGTCGGTGTAACAGCAAGCTTTGATACCTGAACGGCACCATGCACTACAGACGACTGAATCTATTGCACAGTGCATTTATCTTCACAGTTATTGATCACATCGCCACCTTTGAAGGTGTCCCACAAACAGTGCCGACAACACATGGAACAAAAAAATCTCAGGAAATGGCAAGATATTACCGTGCCTACAATGATGCGCTTTATAGCTTACATTGACCAACGTGTCGAGGTAGGCCTTGGAAATGTCGCAACCACCAATCTTTTGTATGCCGTCGAAAAAATCTTGCGCTCTGGCCAGCGCAAGCTCATGAGCATTTTGAAGCATTTCAAGGTCTCCATGTGGTACCTGCGTAAACCAACATTTCATTAGTGTAACTCAAGGAACTAGTTTGCTTAATGCTACCATATACACCTTTAATTTTCTTCAAAAATACAAGTGCCACACTGTTTTTTTAACAATGCAAAATTTCTTGCTCGGGGCTATGTCCCACGGCATCGGCGTCCACACTCACGCTTTGCATGCACAACTTTCCTCTTTCCCTCTCTTTCTTACGCTCTCGCATCGCAACGCCGACGCAATGAGCGTCTGCTACCCTACGCTTGATCCCCCTCTCCTCTAGGCATTCCTCCCGGCAGCGTTTACACCATGTGATAGAAGAAGTGCGCGAGTGTCCTGTTTGGTGTCGTGAGAACGCCGACATCGCCATAGCGGACGAAGTGATCAGGAAGAAGTGCTATGGCGAGACTCGTGCAAAAGGAGGACGACAATGCGTAGTGACCCGAAACCATGATGGAGAGTGGAGTGGGTGGTGGTGGTAAAAACATTTATTTGACAAACAAAACAAAAAAACAAGAGGTATGCAGCGACCACCTCATAAGAGGACGGCACCCAACACGTGTAGGTGGGGATCCCCAGTACGGGAACCCATTGGCGTCGGCTGCTGCCTGGGCTCGTCGACCCAAGGCCTTTTTGACCTGAAGGTTAGAGCAGCCAAGCAGGGTCGCCTCCTACTCCTCCCAGGTAGGGTCGGCTATAGGGGGTACAGCAGGTTTGCACAGGCAGGCCCACACGATATGGTAAGTGTCCGAAGACGCCTCCCCACAGTGTGAGCAGCTTCCGTAAAAGGCGGGATTGAAATGTTTGAGGGCTGCCGGGCACAGCACAGTGTTCGTGAAGAGTCGGAGTAAAAGCCACTACTCCGCTTTACTTAGGCCTTTGCATAAGCGTGGATAAAGGCTGTGATCGAATTGGTAAGAGCCCACAATTTCGCGGAACAAATACACCGGATTGAATTCAAGGTCGTCCTGTTCGGAAGAGGTTTGTGGGAATGCCCGGTGAGAGATCGCACGGGTGGCGGCGCCGGCTGCCTCTTCCCTTCGAGTCCCATGTGAGCAGGAGCTCAGACTATACGGCGGGGTGCAGAGATTCCCTGATAGTCCGAACGTTGCAAAAAGCGGTAGGTTAGGTATGCGACACAGCCGTTCACGATGTTTCGACAGGCCCCTCGAGTGTCGGAGATTATGATTTGCGACCTAGGGTGACAAGCGGCCAACTAAATGGCGACTTCCTCTGCATGGATTATGTCCCGGGCTCGAAACGTGAGCCCGTTAACTGTTTGGTTCTCGTGTGCGACAGCGGCCGTGTACCAGCCCCCAGGGTGTGGGCTGGAGGCGTCCACGTAGAACGCGCTGGGTTTTGATCCATAATAGCGGGCCAGGGCTTCCGCCCGTGCCAGGCGCCGGCCATTGTGGTCTTCTTTTGTCATATTGTTTGGAAGACAACGCACGTGGAGGGCGCATCTCCATTCGAGTGGGAGTTAAACACGATCTTCCGTGATGTGAATGTGTTGTATGCGTAGGTAAGCTAATAGGCGGCGCCCCGCTACCGTCTGTGAAAGTCGAGTGTACTGATTTGTGAGGTGGGACTCTCGAAGCTCCCGAAAGGTATTCACCATGCCCAGGCCTAGAAGGCACTGATTAGAGGTGTTCACGGGGAGGTGGTGGGCTCGTATTACAATTTTGCGAAGGATGACTTCAAGTGCATCCTTGTCTCGTTTCCGCAGGTGGAGGTACGGTGTAGAATACAAGATTCTACTCGTTACAAATTTATGTGCCAGCCGCAAGGCATCTGCACAGTAGCCCTCCGTGTTTATTAGAGACCCGGTGGACCATGCGGCCCACCTGGTCACCCAACTTCCGGAGTTTGGCCAATGTGGTGTAGGACCGTCTGTTTTGATTATTAAAGAGCCCCAGTACCAGGACTTCCTTTTATTCAGGGATTGGACCTGTCTCCAGTGATAGTTCAAATTTGGCTGTGCATTTTGGTAAGAAGTGTATGTGCACGAATTCTGATTTTATTGGCGAGCACTGAAGGCCACACTGGCGGACACTCGGACAGGGTGCACTCGGAATATCTCCGAGTGCACCCTGCAAGGCCCAAATGGTGATGTCGTCAGCATACAACGCATGTTGTATATCGGAAACATCAGCCAGCTGAGCCGGCAGGTCTATCATGGCCAGATTGAATAATAAAAGAGACAGCACCGCACTTTGCAGTGCACCACTAGTTTCTCAGGGGAAAGGGCCGTGTTCCTTGTTCTGTATGCGAATGTAGGAATGTCTGTCGGTTAAAAACTGCCGAATGTATTTGAACGCTCTCAAGCCACAGCCAGTCAGTGAGAGTGGAGTGCGCGTGCAGCGGAGTGGCACGTGGTTCGCAAAGCAGTGCTCGTTCGAACGAATATAAAAAAAGTGGTTGGCCGGCATCATGGCTGGGTGTTCGTCCCGAGTGTCTGGAAGAGGTCAAGAGTTGAAGTGGCCTGTTTCGCTGGGCTTCAAGATTTGATGGTCCACGAAAACAGCGGGAAGCTACTGCAGCCACCAGTTCCACTGTCGGACGTGGGCCCGAATGTTTGGCTGTGGTCTCTGCAAATCCACTGGCCCGAGGAGGAGACTACGTGATTTCGACGGCACGTAAACCTGCTCCGCTGGCGCAGCCAATTCCGCAGTTCCGGGCTCTTCGTAGAATTCCTGTGGTGCTGGAATTTCCGTGTGGCACCTCTTCTACGTTTCATTGTGTCATTGTGTTGTAAGGTGTTGTGCTCCCGTATAACGTCCTTGTTGAGTGTCTATAAGTTTTTTCATATAGTGAAAAGAAACAGAAAACAGCCTCACAAGTACATTTAGAACGTTGCTATCTGTGACTGTGACGCAACGTGCTGTTGTTTCTCTATTCTGAAAAACTCCTCACACACCACCATTCTGCATACGCGTGCACTCCCCCTCTCTTGCCTCCCAACGCCGACGTAGGCAGTACCTGCTAGCGAGTTATATATATATATATATATATATATATATATATATATATATATATATATATATATATATATATATATATATATATATATATATATATATATATATATATATATATATACATATATATATATATATATATATATATATATATATATATATATATATATATATATATATATATATATATATATATATAGTGCATGGGGGTTTAATAGCGACGCCAGGTAATAGGCAGACAGCCGGTACGGAAACAAATGCTCGGGCAGTTCAGCGTCTACAGCTCGTGCACCCGCTCACGCTTCGCACTCAGTGATGGTCCCACTAGTCATTGCCTTGTGAATTCCCCACTACAATGCCTCGGCGATGAAGACGAGCCATCCTGGCGACTCAAGGTAACGAGAGAACAGGAGGGTCGTAACAGGGCTTGAGGCGACTGACGTGGACCGTCTCACGACCAAGGCGGCGCTTGTCCGTGGACAGCTTGAGCGGTTCAATCTCATAGGTGACAAAAAAAGGGTGCTGTATGACCCGGCAAGGGCCCGTATACTTCGGTGCAAACTTGGGAGTCAGTCCAGGAGAGTGGAAAGGCAGTCGGAGCCACACGAGAGAACAGACGGAAAAGGTATTCTGAACAAGATTATAATCGTGGCGATCTTTTTGGAGGGCTTGGTTAACGGCTGTGAAGGACCATGCAAGCTGACGACACTCTTCGGCATGTTCGGCCATTTCAGAAACTGCGCTGAACTCGGAGGCATCAGGATTGTATGGCAGAATTTTGTCGAGTGTGTTGCATGGGTCACGACCGTATAAAAGAAAAAATGGAGAAAAGCCTGTTGTTGATTGAATCGCCGTATTGTAGGCGTACGTCACGAAAGGAAGAACAACGTCCCAGTTGGAGTGGTCGAAATCAATATACATAGCGAGCATGTCTTCGAGGGTTCTGTTGAAACGTTCCGTTAGGCCGTGCGTCTGAGGGTGATAGGCTGTTGATGTGTGGTGTACCGTACGGCATGAATGTAGGAGCTGCTGCAGAACATTGGACAAAAATACGCGACTTCTGTCACTCAGGAGCTCCCGTGGTGCACCATGACGAAGAACAAACCGGTGCAAGATGAAGGTTGCAACGTCACGAGCGCCAGCCGAAGGTAGCGCTGCCGTTTCGGCGTACCTTGACAGATGGTCGGCAGCCACAATCACCCATCGATTACCACCAACAGAGCACGGTAGCGGGCCGAATAGGTCAATCCCAACATGGTCAAATGGGTGTGCAGGACATGGCAAAGGCTGCAGTTGACCGGGTGAATGAGGGAATGTCTTGCGCTGCTGACACTGGAAACATGAGCGAATGTGTTTGCGTACAAACGTGCACATACCCCACCAGTAGTAACGTTGGCGGATCCGCTCATACGTCTTTAGCGCACCGGCGTGTGCGTGTTGCGGTTCAGCATGAAAGTTTTTGCAGATATAAGACCGCATATGGCTTGGTATGACTAGCAGCCGTTTACGACCCGCAACTTGATAGTTGCGACGTATAACAGGTCATCCGGTATGGCGAAATGCGTTGCTTGGCGGCGAAGAGCACGTGGGTAACCGGAAGTTGATGCGTCAGAAAGCATATTCAAGAGCGAGGCAATCCAAGGGTCCTTCCGCTGTTCGGATGGCATGTCTGTGACGCTGACGGCAGAGAGGAGAAGGTCCAGGGCTGATATATTCGTATCATCAGATTTCACGGGTGACCGTGAAAGCGCATCTGCGTCAGAGTGCTTTATGGTGCATTCAGACGACGGACCGAATCCGGATTTGTCCTGGGCGCGGACTGGTAATCCGCGGATGATCCGCCTGCAGACGCATCCACACGACGGACGGTGTCCTAGGAGAAAACAGCCGGATTACCCTCGACAGCAGATTCGGCGCTCACCTGCGCCCGCTGGCAGCAGGCCGGTTTGAGAGTATTCAACATGGATGCCCGCAAGAAGCGAAGCTTGGCTGCGATGTCTGTCGTGTTGTGACAAATGAACGAGTAGTGTT